ATGAGGTGGCAGGTGGGAAGCCCAAGCGGAAGAGGGTGAGGTGGTACAAGAAGAGCAAATAGTAAATTTCCTTAATCTTAAATTCAATCCTGTTGCAGGAAGTGGACAAGGGTAATGAGGTGGCAGGTGGGAAGCCCAAGCGGAAGAGGGTGAGGTGGTACAAGAAGAGCAAATAGTAAATTTCCTTAATCTTAAATTCAATCCTTTTGCAGGAAGTGGACAAGGGTAATGAGGTGGCAGGTGGGAAGCCCAAGCGGAAGAGGGTGAGGTGGTACAAGAAGAGCAAATAGTAAATTTCCTTAATCTTAAATTCAATCCTGTTGCAGGAAGTGGACAAGGGTAATGAGGTGGCAGGTGGGAAGCCCAAGCGGAAGAGGGTGAGGTGGTACAAGAAGAGCAAATATTAATTTTCCTTAATCTTAAATTCAATCCTGTTGCAGGAAGTGGACAAGGGTAATGAGGTGGCAGGTGGGAAGCCCAAGCGGAAGAGGGTGAGGTGGTACAAGAAGAGCAAATAGTAATTTTCCTTAATCTTAAATTCAATCCTGTTGCAGGAAGTGGACAAGGGTAATGAGGTGGCAGGTGGGAAGCCCAAGCGGAAGAGGGTGAGGTGGTACAAGAAGAGCAAATAGTAAATTTCCTTAATCTTAAATTCAATCCTGTTGCAGGAAGTGGACAAGGGTAATGAGGTGGCAGGTGGGAAGCCCAAGCGGAAGAGGGTGAGGTGGTACAAGAAGAGCAAATAGTAATTTTCCTTAATCTTAAATTCAATCCTGTTGCAGGAAGTGGACAAGGGTAATGAGGTGGCAGGTGGGAAGCCCAAGCGGAAGAGGGTGAGGTGGTACAAGAAGAGCAAATAGTAATTTTCCTTAATCTTAAATTCAATCCTGTTGCAGGAAGTGGACAAGGGTAATGAGGTGGCAGGTGGGAAGCCCAAGCGGAAGAGGGTGAGGTGGTACAAGAAGAGCAAATAGTAAATTTCCTTAATTTTAAATTCAATCCTTTTGCAGGAAGTGGACAAGGGTAATGAGGTGGCAGGTGGGAAGCCCAAGCGGAAGAGGGTGAGGTGGTACAAGAAGAGCAAATAGTAAATTTCCTTAATCTTAAATTCAATCCTGTTGCAGGAAGTGGACAAGGGTAATGAGGTGGCAGGTGGGAAGCCCAAGCGGAAGAGGGTGAGGTGGTACAAGAAGAGCAAATAGTAAATTTCCTTAATCTTAAATTCAATCCTTTTGCAGGAAGTGGACAAGGGTAATGAGGTGGCAGGTGGGAAGCCCAAGCGGAAGAGGGTGAGGTGGTACAAGAAGAGCAAATAGTAAATTTCCTTAATCTTAAATTCAATCCTGTTGCAGGAAGTGGACAAGGGTAATGAGGTGGCAGGTGGGAAGCCCAAGCGGAAGAGGGTGAGGTGGTACAAGAAGAGCAAATATTAATTTTCCTTAATCTTAAATTCAATCCTGTTGCAGGAAGTGGACAAGGGTAATGAGGTGGCAGGTGGGAAGCCCAAGCGGAAGAGGGTGAGGTGGTACAAGAAGAGCAAATAGTAATTTTCCTTAATCTTAAATTCAATCCTGTTGCAGGAAGTGGACAAGGGTAATGAGGTGGCAGGTGGGAAGCCCAAGCGGAAGAGGGTGAGGTGGTACAAGAAGAGCAAATAGTAATTTTCCTTAATCTTAAATTCAATCCTGTTGCAGGAAGTGGACAAGGGTAATGAGGTGGCAGGTGGGAAGCCCAAGCGGAAGAGGGTGAGGTGGTACAAGAAGAGCAAATAGTAAATTTCCTTAATCTTAAATTCAATCCTTTTGCAGGAAGTGGACAAGGGTAATGAGGTGGCAGGTGGGAAGCCCAAGCGGAAGAGGGTGAGGTGGTACAAGAAGAGCAAATAGTAAATTTCCTTAATCTTAAATTCAATCCTGTTGCAGGAAGTGGACAAGGGTAATGAGGTGGCAGGTGGGAAGCCCAAGCGGAAGAGGGTGAGGTGGTACAAGAAGAGCAAATAGTAAATTTCCTTAATCTTAAATTCAATCCTTTTGCAGGAAGTGGACAAGGGTAATGAGGTGGCAGGTGGGAAGCCCAAGCGGAAGAGGGTGAGGTGGTACAAGAAGAGCAAATAGTAAATTTCCTTAATCTTAAATTCAATCCTGTTGCAGGAAGTGGACAAGGGTAATGAGGTGGCAGGTGGGAAGCCCAAGCGGAAGAGGGTGAGGTGGTACAAGAAGAGCAAATATTAATTTTCCTTAATCTTAAATTCAATCCTGTTGCAGGAAGTGGACAAGGGTAATGAGGTGGCAGGTGGGAAGCCCAAGCGGAAGAGGGTGAGGTGGTACAAGAAGAGCAAATAGTAAATTTCCTTAATCTTAAATTCAATCCTGTTGCAGGAAGTGGACAAGGGTAATGAGGTGGCAGGTGGGAAGCCCAAGCGGAAGAGGGTGAGGTGGTACAAGAAGAGCAAATAGTAATTTTCCTTAATCTTAAATTCAATCCTGTTGCAGGAAGTGGACAAGGGTAATGAGGTGGCAGGTGGGAAGCCCAAGCGGAAGAGGGTGAGGTGGTACAAGAAGAGCAAATAGTAATTTTCCTTAATCTTAAATTCAATCCTGTTGCAGGAAGTGGACAAGGGTAATGAGGTGGCAGGTGGGAAGCCCAAGCGGAAGAGGGTGAGGTGGTACAAGAAGAGCAAATAGTAAATTTCCTTAATCTTAAATTCAATCCTTTTGCAGGAAGTGGACAAGGGTAATGAGGTGGCAGGTGGGAAGCCCAAGCGGAAGAGGGTGAGGTGGTACAAGAAGAGCAAATAGTAAATTTCCTTAATCTTAAATTCAATCCTGTTGCAGGAAGTGGACAAGGGTAATGAGGTGGCAGGTGGGAAGCCCAAGCGGAAGAGGGTGAGGTGGTACAAGAAGAGCAAATAGTAAATTTCCTTAATCTTAAATTCAATCCTTTTGCAGGAAGTGGACAAGGGTAATGAGGTGGCAGGTGGGAAGCCCAAGCGGAAGAGGGTGAGGTGGTACAAGAAGAGCAAATAGTAAATTTCCTTAATCTTAAATTCAATCCTGTTGCAGGAAGTGGACAAGAGTAATGAGGTGGCAGGTGGGAAGCCCAAGCGGAAGAGGGTGAGGTGGTACAAGAAGAGCAAATATTAATTTTCCTTAATCTTAAATTCAATCCTGTTTCAGGAAGTGGACAAGGGTAATGAGGTGGCAGGTGGGAAGCCCAAGCGGAAGAGGGTGAGGTGGTACAAGAAGAGCAAATAGTAAATTTCCTTAATCTTAAATTCAATCCTTTTGCAGGAAGTGGACAAGGGTAATGAGGTGGCAGGTGGGAAGCCCAAGCGGAAGAGGGTGAGGTGGTACAAGAAGAGCAAATAGTAAATTTCCTTAATCTTAAATTCAATCCTGTTGCAGGAAGTGGACAAGGGTAATGAGGTGGCAGGTGGGAAGCCCAAGCGGAAGAGGGTGAGGTGGTACAAGAAGAGCAAATATTAATTTTCCTTAATCTTAAATTCAATCCTGTTGCAGGAAGTGGACAAGGGTAATGAGGTGGCAGGTGGGAAGCCCAAGCGGAAGAGGGTGAGGTGGTACAAGAAGAGCAAATAGTAAATTTCCTTAATCTTAAATTCAATCCTTTTGCAGGAAGTGGACAAGGGTAATGAGGTGGCAGGTGGGAAGCCCAAGCGGAAGAGGGTGAGGTGGTACAAGAAGAGCAAATAGTAAATTTCCTTAATCTTAAATTCAATCCTGTTGCAGGAAGTGGACAAGGGTAATGAGGTGGCAGGTGGGAAGCCCAAGCGGAAGAGGGTGAGGTGGTACAAGAAGAGCAAATATTAATTTTCCTTAATCTTAAATTCAATCCTGTTGCAGGAAGTGGACAAGGGTAATGAGGTGGCAGGTGGGAAGCCCAAGCGGAAGAGGGTGAGGTGGTACAAGAAGAGCAAATAGTAAATTTCCTTAATCTTAAATTCAATCCTTTTGCAGGAAGTGGACAAGGGTAATGAGGTGGCAGGTGGGAAGCCCAAGCGGAAGAGGGTGAGGTGGTACAAGAAGAGCAAATAGTAAATTTCCTTAATCTTAAATTCAATCCTGTTGCAGGAAGTGGACAAGGGTAATGAGGTGGCAGGTGGGAAGCCCAAGCGGAAGAGGGTGAGGTGGTACAAGAAGAGCAAATAGTAATTTTCCTTAATCTTAAATTCAATCCTGTTGCAGGAAGTGGACAAGGGTAATGAGGTGGCAGGTGGGAAGCCCAAGCGGAAGAGGGTGAGGTGGTACAAGAAGAGCAAATAGTAATTTTCCTTAATCTTAAATTCAATCCTGTTGCAGGAAGTGGACAAGGGTAATGAGGTGGCAGGTGGGAAGCCCAAGCGGAAGAGGGTGAGGTGGTACAAGAAGAGCAAATAGTAAATTTCCTTAATCTTAAATTCAATCCTGTTGCAGGAAGTGGACAAGGGTAATGAGGTGGCAGGTGGGAAGCCCAAGCGGAAGAGGGTGAGGTGGTACAAGAAGAGCAAATAGTAATTTTCCTTAATCTTAAATTCAATCCTGTTGCAGGAAGTGGACAAGGGTAATGAGGTGACAGGTGGGAAGCCCAAGCGGAAGAGGGTGAGGTGGTACAAGAAGAGCAAATAGTAATTTTCCTTAATCTTAAATTCAATCCTGTTGCAGGAAGTGGACAAGGGTAATGAGGTGACAGGTGGGAAGCCCAAGCGGAAGAGGGTGAGGTGGTACAAGAAGAGCAAATAGTAAATTTCCTTAATCTTAAATTCAATCCTGTTGCAGGAAGTGGACAAGGGTAATGAGGTGGCAGGTGGGAAGCCCAAGCGGAAGAGGGTGAGGTGGTACAAGAAGAGCAAATAGTAATTTTCCTTAATCTTAAATTCAATCCTGTTGCAGGAAGTGGACAAGGGTAATGAGGTGACAGGTGGGAAGCCCAAGCGGAAGAGGGTGAGGTGGTACAAGAAGAGCAAATAGTAATTTTCCTTAATCTTAAATTCAATCCTGTTGCAGGAAGTGGACAAGGGTAATGAGGTGGCAGGTGGGAAGCCCAAGCGGAAGAGGGTGAGGTGGTACAAGAAGATCAGATACTTCTACAGCGCCCCCCTCGTCAAAATGCTCCTGTATTACGTGAGTCATTTAATACTATAAAACTTTTTTCGTCTTTTGCTTTTTGAAATTTGCTCTCTACCAAAGGTTTTGTTAAATAACAAGGTTTTGTGCGGCTAGTTTACTGTTTGTTTTTATTCGTGGTCCTAATTTTTGACGCAATAACTATACAAGTTCAAAAAATCTAAGTGAGTCGAAGTGTTTTGGGTCCCATTGTGGCTCATAATAACTTTAAAATTAGACAAAAATAATAAATGTTGCGTTGCTTCTTTAATGGTTGTAATAAAAAATAGAGTTGAAAAATTTTTCGTTGATGTACCATGTTTGCATTTGCATATAGACCGTATGATGTTTTAGACGTCATTCGTGCTGTTCGTGGTTGGATTTGGATATGTAATCCTGTATGAACAACAGATCAACCTGCAGCAATTCAACCCATTCGAGGTTAGAGTGGTTTTCGCGTGCACAGGAACTTTTTGACGGGGGGATGGGGGGGGGGGTCGATCCTTTTCTTACGTCTACCATTTCGAAAGATTTGAGTCTTTTGAAACCCCTCAATGACCATATTTGGAGAAATGTTATACGTCGCCATTATCTTTCATAACGATTATCGAAACCCCAGAGGTCAATTAACCCTTTCAGTAAAATCAATCAGGCCTGTCATCAAGAAAATGTTTTAATAATTCAACAAAAAATAAACAATTTAATTTTTGTAGTTGACAATAACGAACAAATCAATTTTTTTTCAGGAAGATTACACATATTTTAGTAGTTTCCGTTCCGACCATTAAAAATTTTTCGTCTTATTTCGAGCGAATAAATATTTTAACTGCTTGAAAGCTTACAGTAGCCTAATTTAAAACTTAAAATTTTAGTTTTACTTGAGTAACGTTAGTCTAGTTTGAGTATTTTAGCGCTTTTTAAAAAATTCAAAAAACTGCAAAACTTGAAAAAAAAAATTTGATTTTTTTTCATTTTTCAAAAAAAACAACTTTTCTAAACAAACCGTTTTTCAATTTGCTTATGTTTTCATGACTGTCGAATATACCCCCATCTCCAATTTTTTTTGTTCAGCTCCTTTTATCCATTTGCACAGTATCCGGCTTTCTGTTTTTATATGAAGTTTCAGTTAGTTTTTTTTAAAGTCTTTGTTCTGCTGTGTTATAGTTTTTATGCCGACAAAAGATGTGTCAGCTTGTAAATATGTGATTCCACTGGTTCTTCATGACTTTAGATGTGTATTCATTTCTTGAGTGTGTCTATTGTTTAGTTCAACAGCAATGGTAACTTCGGGGAGTTTCTGGTGATGATCTATGTGTTGACTCTGGTCATAGAAGAAGTCAGACAGATGTTTTCATCTAGCTCAGGTTAGTCTAAATTGAGTTGGGACCGATGTGGTTAACTCATAGAGTAATTTCGGATAGGGTACACCGTCTGCTCGTCACGCTATCTTATTTTCGGCCGGATAGATTCGTGCAACTTCTTAGTCTAATACCGATCCTAATCTTACTCTTATACTTATCTAGTCTCAGGTTGTTTAACTAGTCTCTGCTAGGCTCAATAGATCTAGGGTATACTGGTTTATTGCGGCTGCTGAAGTTCTCGGGAGAGTCCAACTAATTTCTAAGTTAAATTCAAATCTCTCTGGTGCTGAAATTACAAGTAATTTCAGCACTTACAAATAAGTGGATTGTTAGTCAGATGGATCATGATTGGTTAATATTAAAAACTTTACATTGGTAAAATATCTAATTTATCCATTAATAAAATGTAGTTTAGATCAGGTTCCACCCATCCGGGGTTTACAGAGTTTTTTAGAACTATCTTTCTTCTCTGCAATTTGAAGGATGGATGGTGAACGTTGGTATTTGGCGAACATCATTTTCTTATCCGGTTCCTCTTGGAGAAGAACGTTCCAGGACGCTGGAATTATGGATAGGAAATTGTTATGTCGTCATTCGACAACGACTGTGATCCCCAATGAAATCAATCCGATTTCGAAATGGTTTGCCATGACAGTTTTTTCTGTATTATGTTGAGAACTTGTTTTGTGTGCAACGTCGTCTGGGAATGGCGTGAAGATCGTGTGTGGAAGGGATGCCTTGTAACTCGGATCTGCACGTATACTTGAACATCGAGGTGGTCCTTGGTCTAGTTCAATGAAGTCCTTTTCTGCGAAGTCAAGTCGTACTCTAAATCCTTTGAGTTGTGATTGTGAGCGGCAAATCGATTGTGGTTGGCCATTCTTTTTCGAGTGTAGTGGGGTCGTTTTGTCTTTGGATGTTCGTCCTTGGTGTTGTATGCTGATCTATATATTGCATAATATAATTTACATTTTATAAAACTTTTATTAGTTTAATGTTTTTTAATTATGATTTTGGTTAGTTGTTTTCACAAAAGCTTTTTGTTTTAGTTCAGTTATTTTGAAGAGTTACTCACCCTTGAGTAGCTCTTATTAAAAATAGGAGTGTGGTCACAAAGCGTGGATGTAGCACGGTGGGTTAGGCCGGCTATAGAGCATGCTCAGGACGTCCTCTTCTGGTGGGTTAGGCCAGGAGTGGGAGTATGATTGCATGCGGTGTTTGTGAGAGGTCCTGTTATGTGATAACGTTTTATGTTGGGTTTGTTGTGGTTTTTGTTATGTTTTGTTGCTTGTGTCCTTTTTTCAAAAATCAAATTGTTTGTGGTATGGGTTTGTCTTTCGACTTTTTTGTGTTTTATTATTTCTTTCTTAGACTTTATAATAGTCTTCAAAAGAATAATTTATCCAGTTTTAAACTGGGTTAATCCGGTTTGGGTACCGTTGGTTTCCTTTTCTTAGTCATGCTGTTATTCTATGGTTTGTGGTGTTTAGTAAGCTGCGTTGGTTAGTGTTGTTTAGTATATAATTCCTTTCCAACCGGGTTAAAGGAAAGTTTGAAACGTGTTATCTTGTGTTAGAGTTGTTGAGTGTGAAAGCTTGAAACTGAAATTCATTATTTTAAACAATTCTTCGTGGGCGAGCTGTGCGAGTGTGGATAGAATTTTTGTGCGAATGAATGGAAATATCAAAAAGTTAGTACTGCATTTTCGTTTTATCAATTTATTACATAGAAATTCAATTTTACTGCTAGTTGTTGGGGAAAATTAAGTTACAAATTTTCATCATTATTAGATTTACTGCTTGTGGGGAAAAAATTTATAAATTAAATTACTGCATTGGTATTATTTTATTTAATTGTTTGGTGTAAAAAATTTATAGAGTTTTAAACAGTTTGAAGAAGTTTTCTATTTTTTATTTTTGTTGTGTGAATTTTTCAGATGATCGTTGGATGAAGGCTAAAATTCTAAAGAAGACATGGATAAAGAATGGTAAGTTTCTAATTTTAATTTAATTAATTAATAGTATGTATAATTCATACTTACCTGTTAGTCGTCGGGGAAGAAACCGTGGGGAAAGATGTCGTGGATGAGGTCGGAAGTTGTTAGTAATTTTGCTAAGATGCGGATGATATTTTTAGTTTGAAGCAGTGGCCAAAGCAATTGAAGTGCTTTAATGGTTGTTAGTTCTTCTGTGCCAACTGCAAACTCATAAGGTGTGTTTTGGATGAGATTATATAATTTGTGATTGAATTTAGTGTTGTGGATGAATTCTAATATGGAGATTTCTATAGGTTGAACAAATTCGTGTGGGATAAGGAAGGGTCGGGATTCTTCTGCGTTGAAGGTCTTCGTGATGGGACAAAAAATATACATTTGGGTTATGGGGTCGTAATTTTGAAGAATACCATGAAGGTTAGTATCTTTAATGCAATATGTGAAGTTAAGAAAGAATGGTGAGGTGTATTTGGAACTGATGAATTGAAAACGGTGGTGTGGTTGTCTGGAGGGAGTGTGTAGGTCGAAGTGATTTTGTATAAAACGATAATATGTATATGTGTGAGTTTGTTTAGTGCGTAACATAATATCGTGTGAGCAGTGCAAATCTCGTTCATGTGGTGCAAGGAAATGAAAGGTTAGTGAAAATAATTGAAAGCGTTCTTTAAAACTTTCGTAGGCTTGTGTGTCTGTTAGTGCTTCTGAAATGATGTGGTCAAATTTGCGATCAAAGATATTGAGTGTAAATACATATGGTGTTTTAATGAAAAATTTTTCTGTGATTTGTGGGTTAGCGAAGCAATCGTCGTCTAAAAATTGATCTTGGTTAGTTCGGATGATGTTATGATCATAATATTCTAGCGTATATTCGTTAGCTCGGGGTGCAGTGTATGTTTTTAGTGACTTTTTATATCCGATGTAAGTAAATTGTCTAGGTGTTAGTGGTGTAGTGAGTCGATATAGCATGTCTTTATTTCGTTCTATATCGATGTGAGTGTTAGATAAAGGTAGGCAAAGGGGATTAGTAAAATGATAATATGAGGTCCAAGGAAGGGTAGGCATTAAAACGTGTTCGTCTACAAAACTACGTGTATCGTTAGTGTCGTGAGGGGTGTTTAAGGTATATTGTGGAAATGAGGGTAAGGTGATAGCTAAAAATTCTTTCGTGTTAGTGTGATTTGGATGATTTATATATTCACGGGCTGTTCCTGGTTTTGCTGGGAAAGGATGGTTTGGGAACTTTCTTTTAAAAGTGCGATAAGCTCTATTAGTGCTGAGTGAAGATTCAGTAGATGTGGATGATGGTGCTAATGATTCGGTATAAACTGAAGAGGGTGTAGGGGTAGGTGGGTTGGATGAATCTATTGTGGATGAAATTTGGTTCATAGTGGGGGTGTCAAGGTGGTAGGGTTGTTGTTGTAGGGTAATAAAATTATCTAGTTCTGGGGAGATTTGGGGGGTATCTGGAGAATTGGATGATCGGTCTGAATGAAGTGAAGAGTAGGTTGGAGTGACTTGGGAAGCATAAGAGGGTGTAGAATTGGTTGGGACAGGGTTATTTGGTAGTATTGGTTGAAAAGGGGGTTGGGAAAAAATTGAGGGGTTGGTGTGAAAATGATTGGATGGAGATGGTTCAGAGTCGGCAAATTCATCGCGGGTTTCAATATTCGGGTTATTGAGTTGTGAAGTGGAGTATAAAACTGAGATTTGTGAATTAGTATCTGAATTCATGCCTGATGTTACATTAATGGTTGGAAAATCGGGTGGCGGGAAAGCAAAAAGTGGAATTATTGTAATTGGAGTGGTGAGGTTGGTTGGGTGGGAATTTGAGCGGTGTAGGGATCCAAGTTGTCGGCTCATCGTGGGCTAAAAAAATTATTATTTTGAGACTGAAAAGCGGTGGTATGGGGTTGTTCTATAATTTTTTCATAAGTATTTTCATCTTGTGAATGGTGTGTCATTATATGTTGGATGGGACTTTGTGATATGGTTGGTCTAAAATTTGGATTATGTGTTATTGCTAAACTTCGAAAATTTCGTGGGACTAGGGATAGTGGATGGTTATGTGGTAGGGGTGGTAACTGTGGTGCTGTAGGCGTTGTGTCTACATTGTTATGTTCTTCGTCGTATGTGTTCTGTCTTGTTGCTATTTTTGTGTTATATTCTTTTATTTGTGCGTCTAAAAGAATTTTGTTTATTGATGTAGAAAAAATTCCGAAAAATCCTGCAAATAGTATGCGTGCTACATTGCTTGTCTGTTTACTTGTGTGTGTATAGCACATGTGTTGTAGATTCCTTTTAAAAGTGAAAAAAGAAATCCTATAAAGTTAAACATTGCGTATTAAATAGTTAATTTTTCTAAGATGTAGTAGGGCCATCCTAGAAAATCAAGAATTTCATTTTTGAGTGTAACAAAGCTAAAAATATTAATAGGTGATATATCTTGGGGACGGTATTTTTCACCGTTTAGATATATATAATCTTTAATGTCTTTAAAATATCCGCTATAGTCTTGCGTATAGATGTCTGCAAATCCTGCTGTTTCGGCAAGTTTGCGTAAGTTTTGGTCAATTGATTGTCTTTTTATAGTGTCCATTTGTGTTAATAATTCTTGGAATTGTTGTGTTCGAATGTGATGTTGAATATCTGATTTTGAATATATTCCTATTGATTGTAAGTCAATATTTGGGTTTCGAGCGATAGCTCTAATGCTTTCAGGTGAAAAATTTTTTGAGTGATTGCATTAATGTGGGATATGGGGTAAGAAGGTAATATTTATCTTCATCAGGGTTTAGTTGTACTACATTGTGGCTATTTTCTGATCCGCATGGGACTGCGGTATCCCAGAAATAGGTTCTTCTTGAAAGTGTGTCAACGAAATGTACTTTATTCTTATAAAAGATAGGGATTCTTTTATAGCATCGTTTGTCTTCAAAAACGTATAGTGGTGATACTTTTTTGGTACAAGTATAAAACCATAAAATGTTTCCTTCGTAGTCTAAAAAATTTG